ACTTATATAGCACATGCATTATAATTGACTCTTTCTACACTTTATAGAATTTTGACACCCTTACATCAACGGAGTCAAAAGAAGACAGATAACTTTTTAAATCATCTACAATCTTGCCATAATCAGCCTTATGATAGTTATATCTTTCATTGTTGACTTTACCTATTAATCTTTACGCTCCTGGCCATATTGAGAATTACGAGTACAAAGGTTATTAAAATTAAGTACTTTTGAAATAAATATTATTTATCACTTTTTTAAAGTTTGAAGTCGGTTCATGTTTTTTATATAATAGGTAACACTAAAAATATTCAATATACTGAAATCTTGGAAAAGGTGATTTTGTTTATTTGCTCGACTCATTTATAAAGAGGAAAGATTTGATTCCTTGTTTTTTTGCATTGTATAGGCTCCGAAAGAATCGGACCGATATATAAAAGTCTTTAATTCCGTAGATTAAACGTAGAGCTACATAATACGGGGGGGACATAGCCTGTATTTTACGTATGTGAAGTCGCGGGGAAACAGCTAGTTTAATAGAAATTGGGTTACAATTCAAAAAGAAATCGCTGAACATACCTTCTTTCATAAAAAACATACAAAATCCTCCTTTCGGATTTCGAATGAATCCAAAATACGCAACATTTTGTTTTTTAGCAGAAATAAACATATCATCTAATAAATATTTAAGTGATGTCTGATGAAAAGCGTATTTTGTTTTATTATAAAAGGAAAACTACCGACTCGTTTATGATAAAATTTAAATGGGACCTTAAGCTATCGAATTAAAATGAAGAATTTTGAAAATCGGTCAATAATTGACGGAAATATCGCTGAACATACATAAAAGTAACAATACATTTAAGCAAGCTGAGTCATGTATTAACTAATTATGTTATTAATTCGCATCGATTTCCCAATATAACGAAAAATATTATACCACATATGTTAAAGATAAAATTAATTATTTTTAATCGGTTTTTAATCGAATGATATTTAATTATAATTAATATCTACACGGTGGTTTGGCTTCCATCCAATTAGAATTTTAATTAATCACATTATATCGTGTGGTCACATTGTAATGTAATAAAAACTTTATTATTGTACCTTTTGAAGTATTTTTATTTGAAAGTAACCGTTATGACCGTACAGCACTCGGCGTCGAGTTCTAAGCTGTTTAATAATAGAATAGCAGATAGTTAGAGGCTGGCATTAAAATGATAGAATGAAATGATAGTTGCAGTGTAGTGACGGTAGAATAGAATACAATTGTCACCGCCCTTACTCTTCCAGCGGGTGTCGTAAAATCCGACAAAGGGATCACACATTAAGCATAGAATGGATAGCAGCGGCAGCGCTCTCTGTTAAATCATATTTTTGATAGTGGGATCTCCAACTTGCCTGCCAAGCGTGGAGATTATAGCAAAACCCTTCACTAACGTGGAGGAGGCCCCTGCAGTGGGGGATTGTTGATAGAAGTATGAAAAACTTTCTGAGGGACAGAAAGGAGTTTGAACTTATTTTTTGGTTTCTTTGAGTAATATGTTCTGCCGCGTTCTTTTGGGATAATTTTCTGTACTGTCTCTTGTCTTTTACACAGGATTGATTTTTCGAGTATTAACTGAATACACTTTCACGTTTCAAGATTAAGTTGGAATGAGACCTTACGGCAGCTCTTTGGGACTGTCTGTCTCCTCAATTGTATTCCTCCAAGTTAGGGATAAGTGAGTAGGCAGATGAATTAAATTGTGTTACCATATGTAATGTTTTGTTTTGTTTTGAAACCGAACAACATTTTACTACTTAATACAAATTTTCTTAAGGTTTTTTACTACACCTACTTGGAGCATGTTGAGTGCAATTCTGTATAAAATACAACGTCGAATTCGACATTGAACACAGCGCTGTAGCAGCATAGAGTTTCACTCAAAAAACTACTGCTAAAGCTAATAAAGTTTTTATTTTGTTGACTATTTATACTGCAAAATCGAGTTCAACATTGATTTTATAACATGCAAAGGTAATTGATAGATGATTACAAATATGATCATACATCACAAAAAAAAATTCAGTTTCAAAATTTTTAAAGTAATGAATATTCATACCTTTGTTGACGTTTGTAGTGCGAACATCGAACCCTGAGCAAACAAGAGTCTATTTACTTTTATCAGTTTGTAATATTTACACAGTGAATCTGATGCGCTAGACGCATGCCTTCATTATCAAATTAGATGAAAACCTGTTGTGTTGAATTTAAAATTGGTTTATTGTTAGTTATGATATCGTAGCGGACTGTTGTTTTGTATCGAATAATGGAACTAAATAATGTGAGTGACAAATCCCATTGGAATTATGTAAGTAACTTTTGAGTAATTGTCATGATTCAGAATATAAAAATAGGCGATTGAATTACATCGGTAACTGAGCTAGCATTTGTATTCCATTTAGATTATAATTAGGTGTGAATAATAATATTTAATATTCCTACCCCATTTGATACAGATCTATGTCAAGCCAGTGCCTATCCAGTTTAGTGTTGTGTATGTACTACTATACTATCTTCAGTTATCACTACATTTGCCCTTTTCCCAATTCTTTCATTTGGCTTCGATACAATATGTATTCTTTTTCCATACTACTCCGTCGTCGTCTCAACATCTACTACTTTCTTACCCATATCATCTTTCACACAGTCTATCCAGTTTTTCTCCGATTTTCCTCTCGACATAATTGGTAAAAAAATAAATTTGCCGCAAAGAGACTGCTGCAAGGCATACTTGGTAGATCAATATGCCACTAGGTGTAATTGTAGCAATAGCAAAATAATATACGTTGTAAATTCATCATTGTGGCATTTTGTTACTTAAATGTTCTAGAGAAATGACGAATGCACCAAAAGCATTATCAGTATAAACGACTTGTCCGTTTGGACACCAGAAGAGAGATCGTGGTGGCGGAGAAAGATTACAAAACCAAGCAATATTATATTAAACAACAGTAAGTAAATGTTATAATACTTATATAACAGAGACGAAAGACTTGCTTGTTTTTAAGTTTGATTCCATTCAGTTTCAGAAACTATTAGACCGATATTGAAAATTCTCCCACCTACTTCACATATGGGTGACTCACGTTATAGGTTATAATTTAGGCAGGTGAGGTTGCAAGAAATCAGTTAATTTTATAACTTGCAAATACAATAGTAAATGAATAGGCTCTCTAATCGCAGCGATCTCTATCGACTGTGACGCCAGTTTGTGGTGCATTATGAAAATGTATTTTATCATTTTAAACGATTTAAGTCGTTAAATTTGTAATCCAATGGATTTTGACTATAAGTCTGTGTTTAAACTGAAGCTTGATTTATTTAGTATATATATAACAGTCAGTAACTTGTATAATTTTGCAAACTGTAATGAATTCCTATTTAAAAATCAAAGTCATAATACTCGTATGTTAATTTGAATCTTGAGATTTACTTTGAAAAAATTGATAGTTTATAATTTTATTCTGATTTGTATTTAATTAAAATAAACTTTGGCGTTTAAAACGATATATTGTTGTAGACATACTACTTTATATTGGAATAAAAAATATATATATATATTATATATATATATATATACGTCGATCATCTCATTTGGAGAACAAAGTTCTTTTTAAATATTTATTAGACGAAAACTTTCTAAATAAGATTTGAATTGTTACCTCATTTTGTTTTAGTCTCAGGATGTATAAAAGAAGGAGAATTCGTTGCTGTACTCGGACCAAGGTAAGTAACTCTTTTTGTATATTGTTACAAATTCATGCTTTACAACAAATTTGGTATAAAGATCTCTAGATCTACTGTGTTTCTATGAAAACTAGATATACAGCCAGTTGCACAAACGTTCATTTAGGTTTAATGACGCCTTTAAGGTCTAATGAATGTCAAATTTGTATGGGTAAAGTTACTTTAAACTAATGAAAAATTTAATGTACGTTTGTGCAACTGGCTAATAGTCTATATTTGAAACGGTAATACGACTCTAAAGAAACTCATTGTTCTATACTAATTTATGATGTAACAGAAGTCGGACCTGATACTGCCTCCGATGTACAGATAATCTTCACGGATTTGATTTTGGTAAGGGAAGAACTGAGTAGGCCTTCTGGAAAGCACATGATATAGTTTTTGTCTCAGGACCATATCTAAACGGGAGTGAAAAATAAAAAATAAAATGGGAAACTGGGGCAGATGACCCTGTTTTGGCCAATTTAAGATTATGACTGGTTTTCGCCATCGCAAGAGTGACGAGGAAGTGAACTTGGACACATCACAGCTGTTAACGATATTAGTTTTGCGATAATGAAAAATTTTTGAAACAGATCATGGTTAAGTAATATATTTGTCAATTGCCAATTGATCAAAAAGGGGTCTTTGCTCAAACCCGGGTCTTCTGGCCTATTATTGCCCATTCCCCTTATATGATAATATCCATAGAGAAGGCCTGTGCTCCAGCGTTGGGGTTAAAAGAGATGGTGATGATGATTTTGTTTATTTGCAGTGGTGCTGGTAAGACGACGTTCCTAGTGTCATTGGCTGGTAAGTGTCGGCTGCCTATGCGTGGGACAGTGACTGTAGGTGGGCGGGATGTGCGTCACACGGAGGGAGCAATAGAAATAGCGCCACAGTTCGACGTCTTCATGTCAGGGCTTACAGTTCTAGAGCATTTGGTGTTTATGGTGAGATTATGCTTATGCAACCCTCGGATTTGGAATTCTGATAATTTATTCACGTGTTTTACGTAATGTTTCATGGACAAAAAATCAATGTTTGCGAATTCATGGCCGGGGATTTTTTCGGTCCCAAATTCAATTCTCGGTTGATCAATTTAGAAAACGAACTTCTCTTTTTTGTCTTGCGTCTGATAGCTGTGGTGTTCTTTCATAATATACGATACTCAGTAATAATATATGATGTATTAGGTATATACTTTTTTTTATTTTCAATGGAAAGACCTGATTTAATTGGTAGGTATTTTCATAGAAAAATATGATTATTAAAAGCATTAATTTCATTTTTTTAGACAGAGTTAAAATTGGGAAGTTGTAAGCTTGATAATGTTAAGGATATTCTGAACGATCTATTAAAGGAGATGAAATTGAAAAATATAGCTCACACCAGAATAAGTAAGCTATCCGGAGGGGAAAGGAGATTACTTTCATTGGCAACATCAGTAAGTACAGATATAGATTCCACTTTTATTGAGAAATTAATAATTTCATATATTCAAGGTTCAGAAAATGTTTTTTTCTTTATTATGGTGTTGTCGGCTAGCTAGAAAGCAGTCATCCTTACAAGCTTATAATTTTAATAGTCTTCTAATATAGTTTTCATATCTAATAAATTAAATTCGCAAAACACTTTCAGCTACTTTCTAGTCCTCAGATACTTATCTGCGATGAACCGACAACCGGTTTGGATAGTTACAACGCGTTGTTGGTTGTAGAATCTTTAAAAAAGTTGGCTATACGCGGGAAAGTAGTTATATGTTCGGTGCACCAACCTTCCATGGATGTACTTAAGGAATTTAACTCTATAATTCTGATGGCTGATGGCAAGTTACTCTTTCATGGGAGCCATGAAGAGTGCAAGGATATGTTTGAGAGGTGAGAAGTAGATACTAGAATGATTCATAATAATAAGGAATCAAATTTAATATCATTTGTTCAGTCGGGACTGTTACAAGCACTTGTTGACGTCGAAAACGCAAATCTACGGTGGGAGACCTCATACTGAGAATAATCGTCAAGAAACTCAGCAAGAGCTGCTTTCATATGAAGAAGTTTAAACAAAAAGGCATTAGATTATGAAGTCCTTTTCTATGTTATGTAAAAGGTCATAAATATGCCGCGTCATACAATTTCGAGTTAGATATTGACGTTGGTAAATTTTAACTGATTTCGTGTTTTCAGTGTAAACCTGTATTGTCCTAAGAACTATAACCCCGCGGAGTTCTACATTCGGGAAGTGTCTCGACTCAGTCCTGAATTAGTCGAGAGTATTAAGGCATCACATCAGTCCGTGTCCTGCGTAGAAACCGAACACCCAGCAAGGACTCGAATGTAAGTTTCATATATTAATAGGTACCTAATAATTTTAGCTGAGCCCGCGAACTTCGTGTGACCTTATTGTCACAGACTTAACTCAGGCACAAGACACTATTGTCTGTTTAACTCAGGCACAAGACACTATTGTCTGTATATTTATTTTTTGTTTTTCTGTAAGATAAATATCATAAGTATTTGCATTATCTCATTTTTTAGGTACAGGAGAAATTGGTTTAAGCAAGTTCAGCTTTTACTCTGGCGATCATCGTTATCTTTTGGTAGAGATCTGAAGGGACAGTTGTTTCAACTATTTGTTAATGTTGTAAGTGTCCATTCTATCAGCTATTATTTGAAACTACATTAGTATTCTTGTACTAACTAATTTAAAATACCGAGACTAGTGATTTTATACACGGTTCTTGTTTGGAATAGAAGTCAAAATTGAAAACAAACTTAAAACAGTTTGCTATGTATATTTATAGAATAAATAAAAAGAAGCATGACAGTAAAATGAAAAATTAATAAACAGCCATTTTGATAGATATATACTTTGTGAACCTTTGTTTTTTTATCCGGAAGTCTTTTCACATATCAGAATCACTTAAACAAAGTTATTATGTTTTCAATGAACGTTAGATGGCATCATCTCTAATAATCGGCACTTGCTACGTGGGCATCTCCGGGACCAGTCAGCGGGGGGTGCAGGACGTCCGCGGTATGCTGTGGCTGATGACAAGCGAGGTGTGCTTCGCGATCGCCTACACCGCCCTCTATGCGTTCGAACAGGACTTGCCTCTATTCAAGAGGGAGGTCGGCACCTATAGCTGTTCTGCGTATTACGTCGCGAGACTTTTGGGATTTGTAAGTATTATATAAGCATATCGCCTCAAGAAGGTCCACTATTTTGAGAAATCAGAGTGCTGGGTGATTGTTAAGAATCTGTCTTAATTTATAAATAGTAGAAACGTAGGCATTAATACCTTCAAACGTATGTTTTCTTGTTTCTCCACTCAGCTTTTTATAAACAGTGGACCTTCATCATTTTTATGATCAGTAAATTAAGTCTGTGATTGTATACTTGTAACAAGAACAATAATTCGATCTACTGGCTGTCGCTCCTGTCATCTGCATTTGACAATACAATGTTTTTATCTATTTTAATTTCCCCTTCAAAGATTATGAAATTATAATTATACCAAATTATAATTGCCTTTTATAATTTGGTGTCCCTCTGGTGTCTTAATAAAGTTTTATTTTATCTTTGTAACGCCAATACATTTTTATTCTACATCTTAAGAAAAATAAAAAGTAATATAACATGCCATATGAACAGAGATCGTTATTATGGCGTTTCGACACATGCGGAAATTCGCAGTAGGGAGCTTTAAAAAGTCAGTCAGTCAATAGTCTTGTCAACAGATCAGAGGCTGGCCCAATTAGTAATTAATAAGATGTCTAGAGTCATCATCATCATCAGCCCTTTTACGTCCCCACTGCAGGGGCTCAGGCTTTCCATATGGATGGTTAAGGAGTATGGGCCGTGACCCTCCACGCTGGCACACTGACTGCAAATGCAGCCAGGACCAACAGCTTAACGTGCCTTCCGAAGCACGGAGTAGCTCGAGATAATAATTTTTTGGTCACCCATCCCATGACCGACCCTTGCGCAAGTTGCTTAATGACAACGATCGCGGGCCGCAGTGCTTATCCACTATAGCACCGAGCTACTCTGTCTAGAGTAACTAGAAGATATTAAATTTTCTTCATTTACTGCCACTAGAGAAGATTTTCAATTCGCTTTACTATTACAGGTTCCCCGTTGCGTGATTTGGCCATTGGTCCTAGTGTTCCTGATAACTCTGGCCGTCCAGCTGCCTAACCACGCTCTTACTGCTGTTGAGTTCTTCGTTACCCTGTCTATTGCCGCCGTCGCCTCATCAGCATACGGTATCTGTTATAATTAACAATTCTTATAATTTTTCTGTGTTTTCCCGAGTCTGGGTGTTGTGGTACCTTCATTGTCGCTTTAACTACTAATCTTGGAATCTGAGCAATATATGTGATGTGGTCTTATATTTATTTATATATTTTTTTAAGGTTTGGGTATGGCGGCTCTTTTTACATCGACTGGTATAATGGGCGACGTGATGCCGGTCGCAGATCTTCCCCTGTTCCTGATGTCTGGAGCTTTCCTGAGACTTTCATCGCTTCCCATGTGGCTGTATCCTATTAGGTTCCTCTCACACTTCTACTACGCCATGGACGCAGTCAGCAATATCTACTGGAGACAAATCGAACACATCGGTGACTTTCTATACTAATATTATAACAAGGAAAGATTTGATTCTTTGTATGTTTGTTTGTTTGTTTGCAACGAATAGACTACGAAACTACTGGGTCGATTTTAAAAATTATTTTAAATCCCAAAAAATTAGTGGAAGTTTGTATAGGGAATTAGAACGTTAACATTGTTTACATTTCATTTTGTCATTGTAATTATATTTTTGTGAATCGACATTCAAATGAACAGTTCCCTAGGGATCGCGCGGGTGAAGCCGCATGCGGAAAGCAAGTATTTTATATTTTTTTAACTTTCCGCCATCATTATACATATGAACCTTCCTCTTGATTCACTCTGTACGAGTTGATGAAAACCGAAATAAAATTCAGTATGTATTTTAAAAGATTTCAGCGTACAGACAGCGGGAAGCTAATTGTTTTATACTATGTATAGATAATTAGTTCACTCTTTGAGTAGAAGAAATATGATTATCACTTTTAGTCGCAACAATAGAACGTTTTTCCGAAGCGCTTGTTAAGCCCATTTCATAAAAATGTAGTCTGTTTCGTTTAATTTAGGCATCATTGTAGATTTGTTGAGAATTTCACTAATTTTACTTTTATAATACGCATTGCGACCGCCCACTTCATTTATATAGGCTTAGAGGACTTACACAGATCTTTCTAACGAATTAATTTTGTATTTGCCTGTCCTGTCATTTATCCACAATAAGTATTGTTATCTAGTCGCCCGTGATTGATTTAAATCTGTATTCTAAATTATACTTATTACATTTTTGATTTTGGCTTTATTTATTTATGCCGAACATGATCAATGATCAGCGATGTTTATCCTTTTATAAAGTTGTTTGTGGTGGAAATAATTGTTATCATTATAATTAATAATATTATTATTATGTTGGCAGACTGTCCGACAAATTCCACGTCAAGTTGCATCTACGACGGAGCTTCAGTTCTGGCTGAAGCGGGCTACTCCAATAAATTCATGCTTCAGGACCCCACAGGAATGATTATGGTGACAGCCTTCTGGAGTATTCTGGCTTATTATGGCTTGAAACGAGAGGAGAAAAGGGGATACGCTTATTAAATTTATTGATAATTAAAACGAAGAGTTGGAATCAGAGAAACAAGTACTTAATAAAAGTGATATGTGTGAAAAATATGTTTTATTTGTTATATTATTTTAATTGCTTATGTTTATTATTTATTTACATTTATTATGACATAGTATTAACATGTAAACACCACTTCTAACCCTTTAACATCATATTAGTTGAATCTAAGCTAAGGAATATTACGTATAATGGTGAAAACATTAACTATAGTATTATAGAGCCTATAAATGTCCCCATTACAAATACACATCCCTGCCCTATGGATGGGATCGAATCGAATAGGGAGCATGAGTCATGATTCATTACAGGCCCAGTGCGGATTGGTGGGTGTTAACGATTACAGATACAGCCACGTGTCTTTCCAAGCACGGTGTAACTCGAGATAATAATGTTTTAGTCACCCGTCCTGTCCGCCCTTGCGAAAGTCGCCTAATTTCTGGATCGCTGCCAAACGCGCTACCCACAGCGCCATCGAGCTAGTTAATTAATAAGATGTAATTATAAATCACTGATTTATTATTTTATTAAACATAAGAACATAATTCTAATGTATAATAAAATATTAAGTAATATTTCAAGAAACATTAAAAGATATCCTCTAAAATAGCGAGTGTGTTCCATCAAGGATGTCAGCCTTGAAGGTAGAAAGGTCGAGGTAGGTGCAGGACATGTTTATGGAGCTGTGATACGGACCTGTATTTTCGGTTATGTTTAAATTAGTGGTTTCTTTTTATTTTTTCTTAAATTAATGAATATATAAAAAAAACTTTTTTTAGAAATGACTACTCTGATTCTTCGAAAAATTAGTCTATATTCGACAAAACTTCTAGAAGACCTGGCAATGTGTCTGGTGCGCAGATAAAATTCACGAATATGGTTTTATTAAAATTATAAGGTTTATAATTTGATTGTATCCGACTGTTTTGTCCTGTATTGGTGTACAATAAAGCATATTTTATTCATTCATTATTTCATTCAGATCTGATGAGTGTCTTGCTCGTTTTTCTTATCGTCAAAAGACGTCTTGGACGAGTGGTAGGGTAAAAATATTGGACGTTTTAAAAGTACTAGACACTATGTTTGAATAAAGATATTAAGTCAAAGTAAAAATATCTTTATTCAAAATGTCGTAGTCATACGATATATGTACATGTCGAAATAGAGTAGGTCCTTAATATACAGGAGTCTTCTTACTTCTTCTGATGACCATCGAAAATGCTATAATATTCATCACCATATACATCACCATTAAGCATATACAGTCCCTCCAAAAGTTATTCTCATCATAACCAAATCTGTCGAGTACCCCAGAACCCGTCGTAATACAAGGCATCTCTCTGGCGTTAATACAGTTTATCCGCCTTATAGATTCCCATTGTAAAATAGAGATGCACTCAACGCCGTAATAAAAACCGGAGATGAATCGGAGCCACGAAACATATGCCGAGGCGCTAGCCAAGTTTAGGTAGATACCGGAAAACATGATACCGATTAAATCGAACGGTACCGATATTAAAGCGGCCGTCTCCAGTTTGTTGAACACCGCTGACAGAAACGAGCCTGGAAAGCCAAAATAAAATGAATAAATACACCACCAATAGATAATTTATAACTCACGACATTTATTATAAGAAATATATGTCTTTTTTACTATAAAGTAATATCATTTAATTACTTTAAAACACGTGCTAATTCGCCGATTTGGCGCCGAATGGTTGACAGCTAAATTTCCCATAAAAATGTGTAGATAAAATTTTTGCTATTTGGCATATATCGAAATTTGACATTACATTCGCCTTTTTTCTCCAGCCATTAACATAATTAGTATTAATTTAAATTCGATATAAAATGAGAAGTATTATAGTAGTCTTATTAATAGAATATAATTTATTTGCATACTTATCAACACTTCATTCGTTATTAATATTCATGGGTATAAATTCCATTTTTGACTCTTAAATTGAAGATATAGAATATACCGGTTGACCGGTTTTCAAATCATCTTGAATTTATTTAACAACATTCAGTTTCCATGCAGTCGAATTCAAATTTAAAACTAACTCTTTCAACATATCTACACCCATTTAGCTGTTTAGTATGGGAACATAATTTTATTAGGTATATGACTTATCATGCTTTAATATCTCAATAGTTACTGTTAATAAGATATTTGCATTAAAATTAATATAAGTATTAATTATTAATCAGGTCTTTAGTATTTAAGGATGAAGGGGTGTTAAAATGCAATAAGAAAAGGCTCTTTTGGTGTAAAACATTTAATAAACTAAATATTTAATACATAAAAACAGATCTAATAAACAATCTATTTCAGACTATTCGGAGGCTTTAATGTAATATTTTGAGACAGTAACTTCCACAATACATTAATAATAATAGGTAAGCGGTAGCATTAGAACTTAAGAGTGATTTTACGAGAAGGTTTTTTAGGTCGATACGGAAATGAGTATTTTTAAGTGAATTAGTTAGCTATGCCATATTAAGTAATTCATCAACAAAAAATTTGCTACAAAAATAACAGTTTATAAAGAAATGAAAATTACTCCGATAACACACTTTCAGCTCTCATAAAAATTACCATTTGTCATAAATTATACTAACGGTTGTAAAATACCCGACATTCAAATTCAAAATCAATATACAGGCGTTCCTCTACTTCGCTTGATCACCATAAGAAATGCAACCAAATGTCCGATACAGTACATGGCAGCTAAGCAACAGCAATTTCTCCAAAAATGCCATTCCTCGTAACCGAATCGACTTAATACATCAGGACCTGTTTTGATGCAAGGCACGCCTGGAATGTCAACGCAATTTATGGATTCTATCGAGTCCCATTGAAGGATGGAGATGGATTCGACGCCATAATAAAAGCCTGAGATGAAACGGAGCCAGGAGAAGTAGGGGGAGGCGCTGGCCAGGTTGAGGTAGATACCGGAAAACATGGTACCGATCAAGTCGACCGGGACCGCCACTAATGCGGCGGTATCCATCCTGTCGAATGTCGACGATAGGAATGAGCCTGGAATTTTGAGACAATTGCCAATTGATTAGATTAGGAATGCATATTTTGTTGATTTGTAAACGATTTAAACTTAATTTTGGAATAAAACAATATAAGAAACTTGAATTACAATTAACAGATGCGATTTAAAATAACTATACATTTGTTTTTGAATATACATATATGCTTGTACTTAGTATTAATCTACTGATGATATTAAATTTGTGCATTTAGGAGAGGGCACTAATTTAGTAAAATAAATTAGTAAGGAATTTAAGTGGAATTTCAGAGATTCAAGTACTTACCATATGCGTTTGCGTAATTCGCACAAAGTATGCAAACGAAGCAGAATCCTAACCAGCCCATGAAACCACCGTGAAGCCCAGCAACGCCGAATATGAGGGAGGCGTACAACGTCGGCTCAATTACAGCACGTGGAATCTGTTCAGAATATTAGTAAATCAGCTTTGAACAGTGAAATGAACTTGTGTTTTTATATATATCAGGGAAGAGCATCGCATCTTCTGAAACGAGAAGTCATTTCAAAAAAATGAAATAACTTATTATAATAAGAACGTATCCGATATCTATAGCTCCAACTCTATTTAGTTTGAAATGACCTGGTTAAGTCCAAACGTATAAAGCGAGTATTTGAAATACCCTGGTTCCAAAGCTTTGCATTCCAAGGTCGACTTACTTCGTGGATAATTTTTGTATCCATCATATTATGATTCAGTTATTATCTAATATTTAAGTCAAGATACTAACATCACATCTAACATTAAAAAGACATGAGACTATCTGTGAATATCCGTAGACTAGTGATAATTATTTTGAATTATAGTTTAATAACATACCCAAAATATCATTTTCGACAAATAATAAGGTCCAGGCGTGTACAGCCCGCTGGCTGTCTCTCTGAGGAGTATCGGCACTTCGCTGGGAAACGTGATGAACACGGCGTAGATAAAGAGGAATATGGTCTCCGTGATGGTGAGGTACAGGAGACCCTCGACGTTCTGAATGTCTCGCTGGTCAAGCTCTTCAAAGTGGCCCATGTAGGGAATGGAGATAATTAACCCTACGAACTGTTAGAAGAAAAATAATTTTGGATGAAAATTCCCGCTTTTCAAACCTTCAGTTGGTGAAATTGAAAGATCCAGGAAACGGATAAAGTTTTGATTTCTATTATACTCTTATATATTTCAAACACAAAGTTATTCCTTTTGACAGTATATTGGGAATTAACAAAAATGGTTTGAGACTTAAACGTATTTTATTAGAAATATATGTTTTTTAAAGTTAAGCTACAAAGTTATTATAGAATAGTTGAAGTTGGCTCACCATGAAAAGAAGAAATTCTGCTATCCATATTGTGCTATTGTGTTTCATTTGCTGTATATTCCTCCACATAAGCCAATAGAACTGAACGAAAAAGTTCACTTTGACTCTGTAATAAATTGAAAAGTATTATGGTTCTTATAAGAAATAAAATGTACTAATCAATCCAATATATAGATTTTTTTTATTTGTATAAATACTTACAGAGTTAAATAACGATCGAAGATTTCGTTCTGAAACAATAGACACGTATTAAAATTTTTATTTGTTACTAATTTCAAATTACGTTAATGGATAAAATAATATAATACAATTATAAATTAGATGACCCGGTTTACTTCGTATCATCTCTTACCGTTTAAACCTTCCCCAGACTATGACAAGCGTTTCAAAACCTAAATCGGCTCAGATGCTAGGTAGAGAGTACGAACAGCAATTGATTTCTTATGTTTTCACGCGTCCTTTTATTTAATACATTATAAAGCGGAAATATTTGTTTGTTCGTTTGCATAGAATAGGCCCCAAAACGGTCACCGGAAGCTACATCGGACGCGGTTTTCATAGGTCATAATTTACGCGGTAGAATCGCGCTGAAACAATTAGTTCTTTACAATTACGCGACCTTATGTCAGATATGTACTGACCCTCAAATTTATAGATTAAATATTTATATCTAGTATTCGGTTGTTGGTAGTTCAAAAACAAACCGTGTATTTTTTTTATTAGTTAATTTAAACAAAATAACATTAAATAAGGTCTGCTCTACCTTAGCGTTCGACGTGCCGTTGAAGTATTCCACTTCATCTTTTACGTCGCCGACTTTGCTCTCTATTTCAGCAGCTATCTCAGACCGCTGGTATTCATCGCAGATGCGTCTGATCCTCTCTCTACTCTCCAACTCCTTGTCTAACTGAATGCCTAACAAGGATACGTAGTATTCAGCAGGGTTGAAGCCAACTGGACATTTGTAACCTAACCTAAGGAAATGAAATAATAACATTATATTGTGAATATACATATTATTACAAAAGCAGTAATGGTAACATGTAATGTATGACTGAAGCGGAGCGCCGCGGATGCCGCGTAGAGTTGCCAATTGAAAATCGACGTCGAATTTATCAGCAGGCCTGGACCTTGGGGAGGGGAAGGCAAGTACGCGGCAAAATCATCATAAACAATACCGACTTACAGTCAAAAAAAGAACGGGCTTCAGAAATCTTTTCATATATATGATAGGCTCATAAACCCGGTCTCATGGAGCGTTATAAATCTGGGCCTGTTTCTGGAGTTTGCTCCGATTGGCTATATTATTTATCACTTTTTTGAAGTTAGAAGTCGGTTCTATCTTTTTAGTTTTTATCTAATATAATGTACTACAAATTAGGAATATAAACCTGTGCCTAAACTAGATAAGACCCTCCCTAGACTCATAAATAAAGTCTCATATTAACAGAGAAATAAAAAAAAATGTTTAAAGCCGTTGATTTCGGATGCATTTGCAGTCGTTAACACACCAACCACCACTGAGCCTGCGTTATGGGTTATGGCTAGTTTTCCTTATTCGATTTCATCTGCAGACCAGGAAAGTGCCTCTTTAGGAGGCTGGGTGTGGAGCAGTCCCTTCTGGTGGCCACGTCCTTCTCCCAAAAGTGGGGGGCATCAGGGGGGTTTAGTGGATAAAAATCCACTTTTGGACTACCCTTTGGGCGAGTCCCTGGTGGATGGAGAGTTCCACATATACTCTGTCGCCTATCAAGCGGCAGGGACAGTACAGAAAGCATTCCTGCTACGACAAAAACAAGGACAGTTCCTCTACAGTGGGGACATTAATAATTGAACTGAGGATAGCTCACGATGCAAAGAAATGGTCCGCTTCCTCAATGGTCCCGTGGAAGGCCGTCCGTCCGTTGGCCAGCAGAACGACCTTGTGGAACAGCTCGAACACCCCCGAGGCGGGCTGGTGCACGGAGCACACGACCACCTTCCCGCCCGCGGCCAGCTTGCGCAGCCGCCCCACCACCGCCGCCGCCGCCCAGCTGTCCAAGCCCGTGGTCGGCTCATCGCAGAACAAGATCGGCGGGTCGTTCAGTAACTAGCAACGAAAATACTTCTTATTAGTTTTGCTAAGAGTAAAAAAAAAACAAATTTTATTAAGTCCGCCAATAAGATGAATAAGTATTTTTCAAATTCAAATTAGATATAATTTATTCAGTCTAAGCTATTAGAAGCAATTGTGAAAGTCGAAAACTATGCCATCGGTTCGTAAATCTACGACGGGAGGCCTGGTACTGAAAAAAGCTGGCAAGAAACGCAGCAAGGGCTGGTTTTTCTTGCTTTAATTATTATTTGCTGACTATGACCGTTAGATAGGTATAGTTTGTTTTACACAAAATCTCAAGTATAATGCGGTAGCTACACTCAGGCTTGAAAGTTCACATTACATAATGAAATCATAACCTCAAGGTTTTAAAAATAGCTTTTCATTAAAAGTACATATCATAATTTAAATTTTATTGGTACCAACTAGAAATATTTAGGTGCATGCAACGTATAGTTATGGAACAGATATACATAGACTATATAGATCTGGGTCGCTATAGACAACTTTTATTCGATTTTTTCTACCTTCTCTTCCACTTTCAGGATAAACGAATTTCCGTCACATGCGCATCGTCGCCCCTTATCACATCTTTCTCAATTTTTCTAACTTCTTCATTTGACGCTATTTGTCACGTAACTATTTTACTTCATAGCTGTGCCTAATCTGCTTTATACAAAATAATATTTATCACCTGTACTGCGAGAGCGACTCTTTTCCTTTCACCGCCCGAGAGTGCCTTCAGTTTGGTGGTGTTGCAGGACGTCACACCAAGCTCCCCCAGGAGCTGCTGGATGCGCCGGGACCGGATAATCTTGGTAGACCGTTTGTCCATCATTAATCGAGCCTGGGTAACCAAGAAAATATCTATAAAACTAAAAAATTAATGACAATTCGTATTTTTCACAAATTCAGGCATCATGAGCACTTGCAAATCTACGGCGGGAGAGCTTACACTGAGGGGAACTGGTAATAATGTCAGTAAGGGCTGCTTTTTGGGGTTCCGTAGTAAATGGAACCCTTCTAGTTTCGCCATGTCCGTCTGTCAGTCCGTCCGCCGTCTGTGGTTTAGTTCAAAAACGATTAGTATTAGAAAGTTGTAATTTGGCCTAGCTATTGACGTTAATTACGCCGACAAAGTGGTAAAGTAAAATTTTGTAAAAAAAAAAAATTTTCAATGTGTGTGTTATTTTATGTTCTTCTTCTCCATAGTGTGGAGTATCGTTGGATAGGTCTTGGGGGTGTGCGAAGTCCGTTTTTCGATTTAGTAAACCGTTTGTGAGTTTCTAAGTTTTATAGAGCTAATTTTTGTTAGATTCAAGTGTCCCCCTCTTTACCAATTAAACGGTCGTCGTAAAAATTCAAACGTTTGGCAGTAGTACCTATATATAACAAAGTTAAAAGGAAAACTATCTCACTTAAGTTGGCTTTACAAGTTTTCGAGTAATAGTCGACTCGAAAATTTCGAACAACTCCTTAAGTTTTTTTATATTTTTAATGGATAATGGTACGGAACCCTTCGTGCGCGAGACCGACTAGCACTTGGACTGTTTTTTCTCTTTTTTTTATTTCATACAGATATATCAAATTGGAAAATATTAATAGCAGCATATTTAAATTATTTGTTAGTACCATCAATAGAAAAAACACATTAAAATGTATTATTAGTTAATGTATGGCTAATACTAACAATAAATTAAATCAATATGTGCGCAGTTTTTGTGTTTCATTAGTGCTAAGAGCTTTGTAGGCATAGGTCACCTACGTGATAATAGGTCAATGATTTTTTTCGATAGAAAATAAATGTAATTTATTGGGTAATTAGGAAAGCTATTTTATACTTATTTTATACATTAATTTACATAATCTAACGCCAGTTCATAGAATTATTTATTTAAATATCACTATTATAAAATGACATATTGATTTTTATAGTGTAAAAGTTTTGATAGGTATATTATGAATTTAATGTATAAATTTAATTAATCTGTAATAATAAACCTATTATATATAATATTACATTAACGTTACAATAAATAATATTAAAGGTTTGAAAATATATTGTTATTTTTGACTACTGTTCGGGAAATTAACACATGGAATGGAATTATCATAACCAGAGAGGGCTAATATCAACATAACCATAATTATAAAAATTTAAGTATTTTTTGCTGATGGTATAACTTTTAAACCGGTTTAAAGCCGCGTAATGAATAGATTTGGTATAGTTATATTAAAAAGAGGAAAAATTTGATTGTTTGTTTACATTAAATAGGCTTCGACTCCAGTGGACCGATTTTTAAAATTGTTTTCTCTGGTCTATCGGTCTTCTATCGGTTACATTTCGGCGAGTGTGCATCGGAATTACACGACTTAATTCCATCATCCCCTTTTTATTATCGTACATCCAGGGGTACTTGGAAGCGTCACCGCTTTACTGTGGGGATTCCACAAACTCGCACCAAGCGATTCGCCTCTACATTCATCGTGCGAACTACGAAGCTGTGGAACTCGCTACCGGACTCGCTGTTTCCGGGCAAATACTATCTGGGACTCTTCAAGTCAAGAGTGAATCGGTTCCTTCTAGGCAAGCACGCTCCATCTTAGACCAATTGCTTACCATTAGGTGATCTGTGGTCAAGTGCTTAAAAAAAAATAGAAAAAAACATGTTTCACCTATAGATAGCTAGCTACATAATATGCATTATACATATATTATAACAAATAATACTTGGATCGCTAGTTAACTTCAATGATAGATAGCATATAATATACCCATTTCAGAGTGCCAGGGACAAAGTGGATTTTTGAAACATTTTCATCATGCATATGTTTCAGTATAGCTTTGTGTATGCAAAATTGTTCAAATATAATAATTAGAATAAATTTTCATCTTTATCGAAAGTTTAAATATTTGTAAAATATTTCTTTCGGCTGTTTGGATGGATTGTCTGAACATTTATGGAAATACGCTTTGCAGTAACGAAAAGTAACAAGTACTTGAAATATTCAACAGTCCTGTTAGGTCCTGAAGCTCAATGGTTAGAGCAGTCGACCGGATTGCGAAAGGTCATGGTCCATCTCAGATTGCCAGGGACAAAGTGGATTTTTGAAGCATTTTTCATGATGAATAACATAGAATAATCATACACGGGATCGATCTTAGTATAATAACTTATTGTTAAGTACCATGTAGGTATAAAGCGAGGCACATAACTTGAACCAAAATGACGATTTTGTTTTCGGTCTTCGGGATATTGCGTTGCGTCTCACCCCGCACCTCCATTGGGATACGAAAATTTACTACTACGCTGTCGCATTTTGGTTCAACTTACGTGCCGCGCAATGTAACGTGCTTTGTACGTGTTAAATTAGAAATATGACATTAGACAAGCAATATCTATTCTAACTAATTAAACGATTTTTTTATCTGTAAAAAGTTTGTTTATCAACATTTTCAATAGTTAATAAAAAAGGCAAAGCTTGATTTGTTGGTATTCGTCATTTTCAAAATGTCCCCGCGTTCGATATTACCCCAACGAAAGCACCATACCTTGTTCTTCAATGCCTAGGTCGGAGACTTGAATCATTAAACTATATTAAATAATGAACTTTTAACCTGAATTTTAAAGAAATCAATAAAATAAGGAAGAAATCCTATTAAATGGATTAGATATTCTTACCATAAACTCCATATGTTCGGCGACTGTCAAGTCTTCTATAGCCAGGTCCTGTTGGGGCACGAACCCGGATATCCTCGCAATGAAGTCCGCTCCAGTCAGTCTGCCATTCAACATCAGGTAACCGGTCATCGCGCTCTTTTCGCGACGGCTGATAGCGGCCAGCAGCGTTGTCTTACCCGCCCCGCTGTTTATTATAAATTGTTATACTCGACAACTAGGAAACTATATATATTCCATTTTCAGATGCATAAAAACACACTAGATAAACGCCATCTAGTATCAACGACACTTGCTAGCTGTCTACTTATTATTTATGAGTCAAACTCCAATTATACAGTATATTAGGGATAATGACTGGATAAAAAAGAAGAATTTCTATGTAGTCCGTCAGCCAGATCACAGAAAAATATTAGATACGTGTTTAACAAGAAAACTTTAAATCAATGTATAGTTGTAATTTTTTTATTATGCAACAAAAAGTGTTTAGACATCATCCCTTTGTAATTCAATGTTGTTTATTTAATCTGCGAGCACGTATGAAAACTTAGGAATGGCAAGGAATTTGTTCTACATTGGTATTCTTTAAAAAAATCGCGGGTCAATTCGATGTTGAGTGCACAGTGCGGCCACAGCAGATATACTACCTACTTCCAAAGAGGTTTTTTTTAGTGATCCTCTATGTTGTAAAAGTTTTGTGCTCGACGTCAAATTCGAGGCTGATTTATTACAGAATTGAATAGCAGTTCTCTCTGCATGTCCTGCGCCCGATTTGGTGGTATAGAAATAGATAATGCATGTCTTATATTATGATAATACAAGATATGTCGGCAAATGAGGTCACAGCAGCAAGGCTTGCTCTTTTCAGCAGGAATACGAAATTCTTGATGCATATAGAAAGGAACCAAGACCGAAGCAACGGTGTGTAAAGTGCATTGGTGTTAAAGATTGCCGTATCAAATAATATGCTCGCTCAAATTAATTGCATTGGTCGATAGTATGACTATTTGTAAAGGCTATTCGATACGAGGCTATTCCTAGCCGGTTGGCTGGGTTTCTGAAATGCTATTGATTGTCATCGATACTTATTGCGATGTGGTATTTGCTCCGATTTATCAATAACATAAATATCTATCACGCGAAAGTCAACGTCTGATGGAATTATGTTATTCTATGTTTCCAAGATTTGATATTGAATGCGGTGAATTGGATGTGTATTTTTTGTTTACTGAATGAATGTTTCAGCTATACATTAGTTTATTACAGCACTTCAAGTAAAGTTAGATCCATTTTCAATAATAATATATATTATTCTTTTAGTTTTTCTTATGTAATTGTTAGTTTTGTTCGATTAATTGTGTGTTAAAAAATGAAAGTAAATTATCTGTTATCAATTAGTTAGGAATATAAACTTTTAAACTTTCGCGTTGTATTATATTAGATTGTATAAGATGGGTATTAACGCGATAGATTTTGATAGTTAGGTTTTTCACCTATCTATATTTTTCGACCACTGGCTGACTGTTTCTGCAATATTACGCCTCATCTTCTGAAGTGAGAAGTCGGGAAATATAGCAAGGTGAAAAACCTAACTATCAAAATCTATCACGTTAATACCCGTCTTATACAGTTAGGAATAATTTCAAAAAATTATGAGTTTGTTTTAATATTTTAAGTGGTTAATTAGCCGATTACTCTTACCTGGATCCCATTAAAGCGACCAAGTTCCCTGAAGACACTATACCGCTCACTGAAATTTGAAAGCAAATTTAAAAAAGATTAAAAAAAACAAAACGTTATTATATGATAATGAATTAATTTATTATACCAACGTATAATAAATATATAAGTTCTCTTAAAGATATTTCCCAGATCCAAGGTATTCGTTTACATAATAATCTAGATTTGGAATGCAATGTCCGGAACCGGTCGGTGTGTGTTTGTTCGTTCACGATTTTTTTTTTATAAATAAATGTGTATAACGATTTTAAATTTTACACCCTTTTTATATGATACCTTTTTCGTTATAAAGACATTTAATAAATTGAAATATTCGACGACATTGGAAGGGCCTTCATTTAGGGCCTATTTCCCAATCTCTAGCGACACCGTCCGTTCTAGTTGAAAGCTAATTAAAATATTTAATGGAGATGCGGCCAGTTTCTAACCAGTTTTACTTGTATTTAGTTAGTATTCGTTTATTTCATTACTTTTTCAAAAGATTCCTCCGTGAATCTTGAATCATAATAACGCGCTTATGTTTCTGTGGAAAATAAAGAATTTAAATTATCGGCCCTTTTGTTAAAATCTGTTTTCATAATGGGAATTTGTTTTTTAAACAAGTATCATTCTAGAATTATACTAAGTCCGTCTTATTATAAAACAAGTTCTCATTTTAGTACCAGGTTTAAACAATTATTCGACCAAAATACTGTCATATTTCCTTCAAATTAACTAAAAAATACTCCAGTCATTAGTGTAAACCACAAGATATGATTTGAAACATTTGGTTTATTGTTTTACAATTGATTGCATTGGAGAGATGAACACAGCGAGGGCTCTGTGTTTTGTACACTACCTTCTGCATAAAAAATTGCTTTGTATACAGACTTACACCCATTTTCACTAACATAGAACAAGGCATTAATTAGGAAACGCTTATTATTAATATTCGCCTAAGTAGATTAATTTAATTCCAAATAAATATTTTTTTCTTTTATCCCTTAACATATTTATGACCTGTCATACACGCAAATGCATAGCGCAAGGCGTCGCATAATGAATCTCATATCTTTTCAATGTTGAAATGCATTTTTACCTTAGATTAGACGATTCGTAAATTTAGGCGACAGAATTGGGCAACTCCTAAGTTTAGTGAAAACGGGCATTAATGTAAGTGTTTCGTACTCTTTTGATGCGTATAATTAACCTTTTTTGTACTTTTTACTGTATTTTTTATATAAGAATTTATTATTATACTTGTCATTATAAAGTCACCGAGCAAGTCTTTTAGTTTATTCATATTTTGTTGCTATTTTTTTTTCAGGTGATTTTGTGCAACAGAAGATGTATTTAGACTGCATATAAGTTTTTTATTCCCACAATAACTTTTGAAAAACGAACATTTATTATATCACGTTACACCATGCCAAGTGACACTGCCATTATAATAAAAAAAAATATGGCAAATGTATGATGCCATTTAAAGAAATAAAAATAAAAAACAATTATTCAAGTGAATACATTCCAAAAATAGATAACTTGTATACATAATAAATACCTACTTAAAGTAATAAAATGAGAGTCGTGTTATATTTAATGTTTAAAATAATATCTTAGTATTATTCTCACCTCCATGTAAAACTTTGACTTCCTCGTACACGGGTGATCTCCATATGCTGGTCTGTGTCTTCTTCTTTCTGTACACGGATAGGTCTTTCCAGGCCAACGTGAGGTTCTCGGGATTGTCCCCAAGGACCCCCATCTCGTCGTCGTCCCAGTTCACTATGGCACCAGTTAGGACATTGCGAGTTGGTAACTTTAGACTGTGATCCGTAGTCATTATGATGCGTCACCCGTCATAGACCACTGTGAAAGAATCATATAATTTATTTAGAATACAGCCCGTAAGGCAAGAAACCCGGTTTCGGCCACCGGCCTTTTTTGGCCATTTGAAAGCAGATAATTTTGAAAGTAATTAACAATTCAATTAAAGTACACTCTGACCAATAAAATAGTATAAAACATAAAATAAATGAATATTTACAACGATAAAAATATTAAATAATTAAATCAGAACATCAGCACTCCTTACTAGTCATAACTTAACCCTGACCCTAAATAGTGGTCAATAATCATGTACTTTGCTTAGCACGGCAGAAGTTGCAGCTTTTCCATTAAGTTCAAAATATAGATTCGAATGCACCTTTGAACACAACGCTTTCTATCAAATATAGCACAATGGCTTAATCAAATAAAACCTACTTCAAGAGATAATATGTACTTCTATAGTGCGACAGCGCTTGGGTCGACGCTGATTATTTTCACAGAATAGCAAAGCAGCTTCGTATAAATTAATATTAATTTCATAAGTTCCATAAATATTTGAATTGACATCCCTACACAGGTAATGTATCTAGAAGAAAAATACTTAAATTTCAAGAACGTTGCTGGTTCTAGTTATATATCGGGCGTCTGAGATTATCGGCTTTTTAAGATTTTTTCTATAAGACATTACTGAGTTCATTTATTAGTCTTGTATGCCTCTGGAGACCTCAAGAGACTTGGTATCGTCCCTTCCGGTGTTGTAATACTGGCAATTGGATTAAATTACAGACATTTGACACTGACACGATTTTGACGGTGTTGAGATATTGATTTTTAACTTAAAGGTAAAAATTAAGATCAATTAAAAATCAAATAGTCTTGAGTATTTAATTAAACTTTAATGTAATACCTATCGTTTAAATTAAACAAATCAATTAATGCACAAGTATGCATGGATTAGTTTATATGTTATTATTATTATTATTATTATTACAGAGTATTAGAAAAATATTTATGTAGTAGGTTAAAGTATATAAATGCTGATGGATTAATTAATATCAATTAGTAGCAAATCTGTAGTCTGTCGAATTTAATTTAGTTTTAATTCTGTCAAATTACAATTCCAATTCTGTTGACAGGAGTAAACTTACTTTTTAACAGCCGACCACGTATCTAGTGTTGTGTGTTTGTATTTCATAGGTACATCGGCTGTGAAAGGGTTAAATTATAGTTTATAGAATTTTGTTACTGAGGACAGATTTTTTTTTTTTATTCTTTTAATTTTTAAGGGGTTTTTATTCTTTAGAACATGCCCTGAGGACAGATAACATTGTCTAAAACCAAATTGTTAGGGTTGGTTATAGTTTTTCCATGTCCGACTGTTCATCCGTCCGTCCTTCCGCAATTTAACTCATAAACTATTAGTATTAGAAAGTTGTGATTTGGCATACACGTAAATTACGCGGATAAAGAAGTTAAGTAAAATTTTGAAAAATCATAAAACCTCCCCTACAGTCAAAGTGGGAATGATATTTTTGTTTCGTTTTCTCCATAGTGAGGGGCATTGTTGGATAGGTCTTTCAAAAACATTGGAGTGCGGGGAGAGCGTTTTTCGATTCAGTAAACTGTTTGTGAGTTATTTAGCTAATTTTCGTTGATTCAAGTTCCGATTCCAATTAAACCTTTACGGCAGCAGTACCTATAATATAACAAAGTTAAAAGGAAAACTATCACACTTTAGTTGACTTTACAAGTTAACTAGTAATAGTCGACCGATTATATTATTTTACTTCTTTTATCTTTATTTTTTCTCTTATTTCACTAAGTTGAGAAAACTGAAAACAAATCATTTAAGAAACACAAAAATATAATAGTATTTTTAGTAATATAATTAGTATTTTTTTAAAGAATATACTTTGCTTGATTAATTGTAAGTTGATAGGAATTGACATCGATAATATAAGATCGGATTGTTAGGGTCACTCAATTTGGTACATGGAATAAAAAATAAATAATGGTATTGGAAAAATTGAAAAAGTTTATATTTTTTGCACATGCTTTTAGCGGAGATGAAAGGTACACTGCCGACATAGAAAGGGGAGTTTTTGTAGAGAACTGTGTAAAGGGAGCTTTAGAGAAACTTCTTGGTGGTCAAAACTGAATTTAAAACTTTCTTGAAAAGTGCAGCTCACCATAAGAGGAAGTTAATCATTAATGAAGCAAGGGTGATCCTACTGTTAATGAAGCATTTGGAATGTTAGAGAGAGAACAAACAATCAGAAAAAAACACAAGAATAGATGAATGTATGAAACAACGTTCGCAATATCTACGACCGTAATGAAAAGATAAGAAATACCTGAAAGATAGAGTCCGTGTAAAAGTATATAGAGGCATTTGACGCTGGTAAGAACATGCGAGATGAATGCCGAACTCACCAAATCAAATTATACAGAAGAAAGGAGGTCTGTGCATAAATTTCATGATTAGATTGACCATGTATTAAACGGTGAGGTCAGAAGTCATAATAATCGAAATAACATGTGTGAAAATATTTATGAACGTCCAAAATCTTGTGGAAACACGAACAACTAATAAATACAGCTCGAAATGTCCTGTCATAGGCAGCCCTATCCTACTTTCCCCTCCGCGGTGTGTTGAGTACGCAACAGTGTTGGGTTACGTACGGGTTCCCTCCTCCCGCACCCCTGGTGTCGGCTAGCCGCGCCCGGCGAAACCAGTCCACGGTATACACCTGGATTAGAGAGATTATAAAGATCCGTTATTAAAAAAACGGATATCATGACAAATATAGTGTTTGAAAAAACTCCTTTTTTGGTTAACTAGTACATACGTCAGCACGTCATGTTAACAATGAAATTAAGTGGAGTATTGAAATTTTTGTTTAATCTTATTACTATCTGTACTTTGTATTTGACAATTATTAAAATGTTTTATTATTAACCAAAGATAATTTTATTATGAATTGTCTCGCTCTTTCAGATTGAGATATTTACACAACAGCAATTGTAGACAAGATAATTTATACACATATAAACAATGTCGTACGTTTTTCATTTAATTACATTTCACAATAATACTGCTTTTCAGTTTACTTTTTCGATAAAAAAGGTTTGATACTATCCTTGAAACATAGAGGTGTTTGACCTACTTCAATTTTACATTTCTCGAAGGAATTATAACTTTTATCCCTTTGTTTTTGTCCAGTAGTGAAAACATCAATAGGCTGATGATGTGTATAAATACAATTATTATTTTAGGACTAATTGTCTTGTTTTAAATTTATCGCAATACCATTTACATTATAGCAATTTAACTAAGGTATTGTCACCTAAAAGGCTGTTAAAAGTAGTTGTGACTAGATTTTTCTCTGCCTTTCTTCCCTTCTTTTGGCTTTTCTGATATATTTAATATCCTATGGTGTCATAACAAATATGGTGTTTGAAGAAACTCCTTTTTCGTCGTTAAATCGTAAAAACGATATATGAAACTATAAAAAAAAATAATATCACCATCGCTTTTAAAACGAATTATGATTTGGATAATCAAGAAATATAATAAAAACCTAGTTAAATCCATCTTTCGTTTGACATTTCTCAAAAGCTCTCAAGTATTTATCGCTTTACTTAGAAACAATGCAATTAATATCAAATTAACGAGATCGTTCTTTTATAAAACTTCAAGATTGCAACCGTTATCACATGTCTTTCGAAAGACAAATTGAAAGACATTGTGATAAATCTCTGACGGGTAAAGAATGTTTAAGGCATCAAGTCCGCCATCCGCCAAATGTACATATAGTATAAAATTAATAAAAAATAAATCAGGCCCCTGGAAAATTAAGGGAAAGGAGCCCTACTCTGTATCATTGAAAAATTTATTCCGGATAATCGATCTATCAAACTTTTTACACAGATTTGTGTACCAGGGACAAAACCTGATAATGGCCCGTTGTGATACATGAGACGTTATAAAGAAAACTAAGTAATAAAGACCTTTACTGTCTGTCTTTCTATCCATACTTTTATATTTTAAAGAGTACTAGGTGTCTTCATAACACAACAAATTATAAAAAGATAATTAATTATAATATTTGTAAAACTTTGCATTCACGCTGATCAATGGAGTAAGTAAATTCGCCATAGAGTGAAATGTTATTGGTTTGGATCACATAAGTAGTGGTGAATTTAAAAAGTATTTTTTTTAAATCATCATCATTCATCATTCCCCTGCCCTTATCCCAATTTTATTTGGGGTTAAAATAATGAATTATATTATGTTTACTCTACGTATTACGAGTCTCTTTAGAAAACTCACCAAAAATTGCGAAGCTAGATATCGACGACGGAAAACAGAAAGGGCGTAACTCAGCCAATCACAACTATATACCAAAGCCAAAAAACTGTAAATGAAATTAGAAATTAATTCATATCTTTTCAAAGATACGTCGTGTGAATATTATGTTTAAACCATGACTATACAATTCAAATCTGAATCAAATTGTCTATATACTAACAATTTCTTACTGTCGGAAATCAATTATTTTTGAGTTACGCCTTCTCTCTATAAAAGTTACAAACCTCAAAACTGGCGTATCTTAACATCACGGCTGTACTAAAATAGAATAAAAAAACAATTAACTAACCTCAAAACGGATGTAATTGCTTTTTGTTTTATTATACTATTAATAACAGGATGTGAATACTATCACGATACATATAGCATCTAGAATTTTGGGACTAACTCTTGGTATTAATAAATCTTTAAAAAGTCCCAACTTTTCTGAACATGTAACAATATTCAAGAACTTTATTTAGTCAAAAAATAAAATTTAAGCAACTTAGATTTAAAATAAAAATTATTATAAGAATAACTAATAAAACCAAGTATTGAAAATAACACATTATCTTCTTCATCAGTTTTATCTACAACCTTACTATAAAATTTGAAAGGAGATGGCACAAAACTTCCTCAGAGTCGTTTCATGTTTCAATATG